CGACGCTAATTCATTTTTTGACCCACTTTTAACTCTCAGGGCCCTTTCTGTGGAGCTATTACAGCATGAGCAACAAAAGGTTATACGTTTGCCTGGATGGTTAGATATGCTTAGATGGTAATTCTTCCTTAAGGGCCCTCCCCGCTACTGAATTACTTACCATTTATTTTACATCATTTCTACAACAAGAGCACGGTTATTTCTTTGTAGAATCTGCAGCTCCTGCAAAATTGGTGCTGGCCTCAGAGCTGCAACTCAGAAGATTCAGCCTCAGCAGCCTCCCAGCAAGCTGCTGTGGAATGGGGGCTCAAGACCTGCTTCCAGTAAAAGAACTGAGCCAATTACTGCTACTCTTAAATATACCTCTTAGCTGATTACACACACCCACGTATAGGCTGGCGACTTCCATCTAGAAAACTTTGTTTCCCTAGAAGGCCGAAGAAAAATATGGTTAAAGAGAGAACCAAAGACTTTCTAAAACTGGAAACAAACAAAGAAATCTCAAATGTTTCTCAACCACCCACCAAGCTATTTGTTTCTGGCAGAGAGGGGGAAAAATGCATTAATTTACTGTGATTGATTCCAGCTAGGAAAAAAGGATGGCCAAGAAGGCCAATGGGATGCAATGGGTGCATTAAGAAGAGCGTCTCCAGCAGGTCGAGAGAGGTGATCATCCCCCTCTACACAGCCCTGGTAAGGCCACATCTGGAGTACTGCGTCCAGTTCTGGGCTCCCCAGGACAAGAGGGATGTGGAGCTGCTGGAGAGAGTCCAGCGCAGGACTACCAGGATGATCAGGGGCCTGGAACATCGGCCCTGTGAGCAAAGGCTGAGAGAGCTGGGCCTGTTCAGCCTGGAGAAGGGAGGGCTGAGGCTTATACACACCTGATCAGCGTGTATAAATACCTCAAGGGAGGCAGTGAGGAGGAGGGGGCGGCCTCTTTTCAGTGGTGGACAGCGATAGGACTAGAGGAAACGGCCACAAACTGAGGCACCAAAAGTTCCACAGGAACTTAAGGAAACACTTTTTGACAATGAGGGTGACAGAGCACTGGCACAGGCTGCCCAGAGAGGCTGTGGAGTCTCCTTCTCTGGAGATCTTTAAAACCCACTTGGACGCAGCCCTGTGCCACATGCTCTAGGTGACCCTGCGTGAGCAGGGGGGTTGGACTCGATGACCTCTGAGGTCCCTTCCAACCTTGGGCATTCTGTGATTCTATGATTAATTTGCTGTGATTTACTGTGATTCCAGCTAAGAGGGATTTGTCATTTTTTTAACGATACAGCCGCTTGCAGGTTCGGTTCCTTATTTCAGCTACCCGTGTCAGCAGCTTCCCGGTCACTGAGGGCCCCTCGTGCCGGGTCCCCTCGTGCCCGGGCCCCTCGTGCCGGGCCCCTCGTTCCCGCCGCGGCCGCCGGGGCGGCCGCCAGGGGGCGCCGCCGCTCCACGCGGCCGCCGCTCCACGCGGGCGCCCGGGAGCGGGGAGGGCGCGAGGCCCGCGGCCTTTCGGCCTTGCCGCCTTCCCGCGGCGGGAGCCGCCACGAGTGGGGTGTGATGCCCCTCCCCTGGGGGCGATGGGATCCCTGCCAGTGCGGTTTGCTCCCAGGGGAGCGTTTCCCCCTCATGAGTCACCACGGGAGAAGACGTTGGCACCTGTGGCGGCCTTGCGGGCAGCTGATGGGACCCGCATGAAGGGCCGGGCTCCCAGCGGGGTCCGGTGCCCTTTGTGCTGCGGACGGCACCGCGCCAGGGTGGAGGAGGGAGCTGCACTTCCCTCTGGGATACCCGGCGTGGGTAGAGGAGGGAGCTGCGCTTCCCTCTGGGATACCCGCCGTGGGTGGAGGAGGGAGCTGTGCTTCCCTCTAGGATACCCGCCATGGGTGGAGGAGGGAGCTGTGCTTCCCTCTGGGATACCCGTCGTGGGTGGAGGAGGGAGCTGCGCTTCCCTCTGGGATACCTGCCGTGGGTGGAGGAGGGAGCTGCGCTTCCCTCTGGGATACCTGCCATGGGTGGAGGAGGGAGCTGCGCTTCCCTCTAGGATACCCGCCGTGGGTGGAGGAGGGAGCTGCACTTCCCTCTGGGATACCCGCCGTGAGTGGAGGAGGGAGCCGCTTCCCTCTGGGATACCCACTGGTGGAGGTGGGAGCCGCGCTTCCCCCCGGGGGTACTCGCCATAGGAGGCGCGTGTGTCCCAGTCAGCCCTCGAGAGCGCTCCCGGGAGGCTGGCACGGAGGCTGGGTTTATTTTTACCAGGAAGGCCGTCCCGCAGGCGGAGGGCTTTATTTTTAAACCACCGCAGAGGGCGTTGGGCAGCGGGCGGGCGCAGGCTGAGCCTGGGGCGCCGCGGCACCATGCCCTCGAGCTGCTGCCTTGGCTGCTGAAATCTGGCTCTCCTGGGACCAGCAGGCCTCGGCGTGAACCCCCTCATCACGGTGCTAAGTGTCTGGTAGCACAGTTTTCCCTTGGAGAGCTGAGACTTTCTCACTGGCTCTACTAGGAGCTTCTTGTTTTGCATGTTATAGATGGGCCTTACAATTCCTTCTGCATGTACATCTGGTAATTGGCATATCCCATAGCACCCCGGGGCAACGGAGACGTTTGTTTGGCCCTTCTCACACAAGCTCTTAGGAGACTGCTCTCTCTATGTGGTGCTTGAATGCTTTTTCTCCCTCTTTTCATAGCTAGCCTTAAACACAAACAAAACAATCAGTTGCCCACAGCCTTCTCCTGTGGGTTCCTATGTAAACTTTGCAGCTGTGTTTTCCCTGGACTCTTAGCCCTGTCATCACCCCCCGTCTCTTGACCTTCTAACATCCCCCTTGAAAGCAGCAATACCTTCAGTCTCATTTCTTACCAGCGAGGCTCTACTGGCCTGCACCAACCCCCCGCTCCGGTTTCCCTCTTGTTCCCTAGCAGCTTGCTCCCGGAATGATGGACAAGCCAAAGGTTGAGGAAATACAGTAAAATGCCTTTCTTATCCTGCAGTGACCGAGGGGGAGGACACAGCCTGATAAAAATGACAAGCTGGTAGAATTGAGAGCCAGACCCTTCACCTGCCTGTCCCTCAGTGGACAGGAAGCACTCGATCCACTTGCCATGATTGCAACTGCTGCAAGGCTGTAAAGAAAGGAATTACGTACTTGGCCAATTAGGGCTACGTGTTTCTGGCCAAAGAAATGCCCTCCTTCTACCTGTGAAGAGATGAATTCACCAACTTCCTTACAGGAACTGAAGCAGGCTGAGCAGTGGAAAACAATGGAAAATGCCTCTATACAGCCCTGTGTTTTCGGGCCAGATAGACAGCTTTGCTTAGGATCTGGCTTCTGCTTACTTCCACTGTTACGATGGAGGCTCATGTGAAGCTTAGGTTCAGCTGCTCATTTCGACCTACCTCTTCAACTATTTTATTCCCCTCCCTGCTTTTATTGGCATGGTTTTTGACAACAGCTACTAGTGCTGGGTCAGCTGTTTCCTGCCAGTAAGTGACGGGGAGGAACATTTCATTTATTAAAATGCCCCAAAGGCAGTCGAAGCTGCTGTGCAAGGAAACACCAAGAGATTTGTGACATGGGATGCTACCAGCAAAGCTCTATCCACTGCCCCCTTAAACAAAAGAAACCTGAAGAGGCACAGGACAAGACGGACAGGGGAAATAACAGGTCTAGGACTTGCTGTATCCATATGACTGCTTGGAAGAAGTGTACAGAAACTTCCTTGGATTTTCTACTCTCTTTCCTTGCTCCTGAGACTGGATGGATAGTGAAGGCAGGCTGTTTCAGCCACATTATCTCTGTTGTGCTCACTGCAAGCTACCCATATCTCATCACCCCTGTGGCTGCTGCTCATCCAAACGCCTCCTTCGTCTCAGGATGTCAGGTTCTATAGGTGGCCCTTTTCTTCCCAATATTCACCATTAGTACTTGGGGCAAAGTGCCCTCAAGCTGTACCGTGCAGCTCACTGATGCTCCACAAAGCACTCGGCAGCTTTGCTAAGGACAAATGGGCTGGTCATGTAGTGTTTGTTCTCTCCTCATTGCCTCTTAGGTGTGTGCTAAAAGCAGGTAAATGGGCCTTTGGTGGTTCCTTCTGCTCCGTGCTATAGGTGCCACAGCAATGGTACACAGCTGTAATAGGAGGAGAGGTAACACAGGCAAAATATGTCTCTGGGGCTATCTCTGTGAAAAGGTATGTCCCAGAGCTGGATGCAGCTCCAGTGTGAGCTGGAGAAGGGGAGAGCTGGGAGAGCTGCGCAGCGCAGAGCCGGGCGCTCGGATTTGTCTGCACGGTGCGTCAGCTCTATGGATCAACCTGCCCTTCGCTTCATGCTGTGAAGACATTGCAGGCTGCCTCGTAATTGTCCTCCAGCTTGAGTGATGGGAAACATCTCTGTGCACATACCAGCATAAGACCTCACATAAAATACAGATATCATGGTCATTTTCAACAAGAAGAGGGAGAAAAAAAAAAAAACCTCTGCAATAGAAACAGGTTTGGAGGTTGAAAAATATACTGAAAGAAACAGATAAGAGAGCATTATAGATCATGTATTTGTATTACAAGGGAACAGGAACCAAAGTACTGTGGGTGCAAAGACAGACTGGCAGCAAAATCCTTGAAATGTTACTGCAAGTGCTAGGATCTGAGTAGCTGAGTCCCAACTAAGTCCCACAGCCAATTTTCCCCTAAGCTTTAGAGACATATGAATGGATTGATCTTTTTTAACTGCTGCGGTGCAGCCTAAATTCCTACCTTTTGGTACTCCAAAGGTTAGAGGCAGACAGATTCAATTTGTACCTTTCTCTGGAAGAAAAGAGCACACTCTAAAAGTTGACCCCCAGCAACAAAGCAGTGCAGCCCTACTCCTATCTGTCTCTCGAAGGCCCTAGAAGAGGTAACACTCATCTACTGCCAGAGGACACCTGGGGAGTCCCAGTCACCATACATGGCCACGACCTGTTCAAGGAGATGGAAGGGATGAAGTTTCACTGGAGTCAAGAGCCTCCATTCAATTCAAGTTCACATTTAAATATATGTGATTTGGATGAGAAAGCTTCTGCTTAGGGTTCTGCAAACCCTCAGACAGATTTCTTCTGCAGAAAGGAATCACTAGGAGTCACAGATCCAGACACAGGCCGATGAGGGCCACGCTCTACCTTTCTGAGGGCTCCGTTTGAGGAACTTAAGGTCACCTGAGACCTGCCCAGCTTGAAACCCCCACAGTGGCTGCTGTGCTACCAGCCTGAGCAGCATCGTCCTGGTGGGCTCCAGACATCAGGCAACTTGTGTTCATCACGGTTCCTGTTGGAAAGCATGGCAGTGACCTAATGCACAGGAAGTTCTTCATAGGAAGGTGAGCACCATATGGACAAACCAGGCAGGCTGGTCTCAGCAAGCGTTCAGCAACCAGCAGAGCTGAGCCTGCTTGCTGATAGTGAGTGGGGAGAAATACAGGTAACCCCCAAGAAAATACGTGCAGGAAGTGTACAGGTCAATAATCTAAGAGCTAAAACCTTTCCTGCTTACTAAAGTAGGGAAGGAATAGCGGTGGGTAAACCTGTGCTAAGGACCTCAGCTCCTCCCACATACAGTCTCTACGGATTAGCTTCACTGTGGGGCAGAGAGGCTCCCTAAAGGGAGGATCAGCTCCTAGCAAATAGGAGATCTTCCTCCGTGGACACGTAGCAAGCTGAAATACCAGGGGGCTCAGAGGGACTTGACTTTAGGTCACTTGTTAGCAGTTGTTCCACCTATTTGCAGCACATCAGCATAAAAGACATGTCCGCAGTCAGCACTTACGATCTGACTCCAAGAAACAGCAACCTTGGGGACTTGACTTTGAGCCCTGTATGTGGCACCCACAGGAGAAGTTGCTCCTCCTTGGCTCCTCCTCCCAGATAAAGCTCCTTCCCACCCTCAGCTCTGCAAGGAGACCCTTGAAGGGCAGTTTAGCAAGAGCAGCTGCTGAGCTTCAGAGCAAGGTGTGGGTCCTGTGGGCAGAGAGCTGGCCTGGCAGTAACTGTAAGGGGTAGTGGTGTGAGGAGCTAAACTCACTGGATTAGCAAAGTTCTTTCTGTGGTTTGTTTTTTTTTCTGCTGGCTTGTGTTCTGCAATTCAGATGCCTTCAGTTTGTTGTGGCTTTGGTTTGTCTTTGCCTGAGATAGCTGGATGTAAACTTGCAGCCTGTGAAATGTGGGCAAATTAATACTTTGTGTGCAAGGGACGCACAGGCTGTGCAGCTTGATCAGCTTCTGTAGTAAGTGGTGTCTTGTTCCACTCTGGTGTTTTACCTGAGGGTAAATAAACACCATGGCCAGGCAGCTCCGAACAATTAGCAGAAAATGTAAAGCCTGATGATTAGCCTGACCTGTTCAGATCAAGCAATGGCAGAGCAAGTCATAGGCTCTGTCTGGGGAGGGAGGCATCCCTCAGTGGCCAGAAGAGTAAATTGCAGGTGGCAGCCCCCTCAGCTGAGGCAAACCAGTGTGATCCCCCTGAAGTCAAGAGAGACACCAGCTGATCCTGGCTGCATAGTCGGGCTATGTGGCCTTTCAACCTTTGTGCTGAAGGATTTTGCTGAATTTGCTTAGAACTCTGCTTAAGGTTTGTTTTTATTTTATTTTTAAATCTCCCTTATACAAAGTAGTCATCCTGAAACTATTCCTTTCCCCAATATTTCTGATGTTGCTAAGCAAGGGAATCTGCTTGTCTCAACACTACGTATTGTGTAGTTGCCACAATACTTTTCTGCCAAAGAACTGGTAATTACAGATATCCCTGTGAAAATATTAATATCCAAAGCATGAGAATAGCTCTTTCAAGGTGAAGATCCATCTGATACGGACATAGGCTGAACAAGGGCATATCTCTGCTCTGATTTAGGCAACACAGGCCCACAGTAGAACCCCCTGAAACCAAAAGAAGCTTTCTATAAATGCAGAGGCCTTGGTTAACATGCAGGATCAGAGTTTTAATTAAGCTGGGCTTGGGAAGCAGTGGTTGCGTTTTTTGTGCATGTGGTTTTTTTCCCTTTATAGTTAAAAGAAGTTTCCGTGTGACCAGAGGACAGAAAAGGGCTCTGCCTGAAAAAAACCTGTCAGCAAGTGAGGTGCTGCTTTTTAGTTTTGTGATGCCTGTGTGACCAAGCTTAAACGTTCTGGGAGCATTTGTACAGTTCCATCAACTTGTTTGCAGCACTGGTAAGTCCTGAAATAGCAGACGACAGGCCCATGACTGGTCCTTCGACCTAGCAGTGCTATTTTGGCAGCAGGCCCAGGGTTAAACATAACAAGAGTCGTTTTCAGTCCTTGCTCTCCTGAAGGTCAGTGGCCCAAATGGCTCGATGTTTGTCTTAGCTGTTTCCGGACAAGGTCTGCGTTTTGTAATGATAAGGCAAAATTCAGAGATCCTCATGTTGGCAAGCTCCCACTGCCTCTAATTAGAAACCATGTTTTCCCTGAGCAAGGATGTCGGGATTTGGTCACTGGCAATTTCTAGCTATTTTGACTATGTCATTTTGAGTGGGGCATTTTGTTGTTGTTGCTACTGCTGTCATAAAGGCTCATGACTGCATTTTAGCTGCAGTCAAAGACTTTCATAGTGTAGCACAGCTCATTCTTAGCATTGTCTAGTTTACCAGAATCGTCCATTCCCAAGTGAGACTGACAGGCTCGTCTGCTCAAGCCCCGTGGCAGAAGCACTCTCTCTGCATTAGCAATAAGCCTGGCTCACCCTGACTTGCCAGTTGCTTTCTGAGATGGCTCTCCTCCTTCTAAAGCTCCCTCAAAAAGCTGTCAGAGAGATCTGCGATGAACTGGTCCCATTTCTTCTGCCAGACCTCTTTAGCTTTGGCTTGCTCTTCTGGTAGCATGGCACTGTATCTGTGAGGAGAAGAGAAGCCAGTATGAGAGGAGGAGGGCAGGGGGCAGCGATTTCAAGATGAGTGGCCACAATGAAAAGGTAGGAAGCAGCTACGGATTAACCCCCAACACTCCTACAGTGCATGGAGTAACCCAGCGTAAAGAGCCTTGAGCTCCTGCTCCCGCTGGGACCAGAGACACCACAGCCCTGTCAGCAGCTACCAAGTCCTGCACTGCAAGGACAAACCACCCCGGCCTGTGTTAGCTGGGAGGGTCTCTGACTAGCACCCAGGGGCTACTGCAAAAGGGCCAGGCTACCGTGGCTTTGACATTGTCCCTGGGCTTGGCCCAAATCAGCAGGAAATGAGGGTTTGTCCTCTCCCCAGCCATGTGGGGGCTTGGGTTTGACGTGAAGAGTGCCACAGGATTTGGCAAACAGACAGAACTCTAGGAATGTGCCAGGAGACACTGGGCAACCATGTCCAAACTATTTTGGGACGTTCAGTGCTGTCTAGATAAACAGAAAAAGTGGTTAAACAAACCCAAATTACATGCTGGCAAACTGTTTTTCTTTATTTGCCCACTGGGCCATGGCAAGCACCAGAGCAAATCAAATTCAAGCAGAAATAGAGCAGTGATATAAAAAGTTCTTAATATGGAACATAGCATGTTTTTTTTGGAACTTCCCCTTCCTAGGATGGGGTCCTTGAGGTAACTTTATGCAGGATGGAAAAAGAGACTAAACAGAGATAATGTTTTCGAGAAAGGCTCTCTGTGGCATGGACTGAGGAAATCCTGGGGATCCCATATTCTGCTCTTGGAGGAGATGCACAAAGCAGACTTTGGATTAACAGCCCAATCCACATGACAGAAGATACTCTGCAGCCAAAACCCAAGATGGGTTTCCAGAACAAGCTGGTATTACCCTTAGTATTACAACAGCTAGAGAGGTAAAGAACTTACTTTATAGAGTTCAGTGCAAGCTGCTTTAAGGTCCTCAAATCAGCGCTCAGCCCTCCGATGGCCATGAACACCTCATAGAAGTCATAGGAGACCCCCTTTGCCCCAAAGATAGGAGGATCATCAGGGCTGATCACGATGGGGTGTCCTTCAGCCATGAGGTTGGCAGCGGGGTGAGTCCGCAGGTCAGCGACAAACAGCAGCACCTCAGTGGGGAAGCGTGAGAGAAACACCAAGCAGGTTATTACTGTAGCACAGTGGCACCCATCACACCAATACCTAAACCTGTAGCTGTACCTATAGCGTGTGGCAGCCCCTAGGTATGAAGGAAGAAGAGCTTCCAGAGGGATATTCAGAGCACATCTGCTCTGAATTGCTGCAGGAGGAACTTACCTTTCGCTACTGACTGTACAGCGATTGGTCTCTTAGGTTAATCACCTAAATTAAAGCCAGCGGTTTGAATAACCTTGGCTTATTTATAATAAGAGGGCTAATTTGACTGCTAGTGCTTCAACTGCTGTCTTTTAGTAGCTTACAGATTTACCATGACGCTAAATGCAAGATATGTGGGGCCAGTATCAGGGATGTCTCCCTCAAGCCCACATGGGTACATCTCCACCCCAGAGCAGGTCTTCTGCTGTGCCGAGGGAACAGTGTGTGCCACACAGCTGTGTTGCAAGAACTATTAATTCCATGAAACCAAACGGACTCCCAGTTGCTCTCCCAGCTTCTTGACCTCTTCCCCTCCTGCCTTTATAATGTGTTTTTCATTATGCCTCTAGGTACCTCCCTGGCTCTGGACCTTGTTGTCTTCACTAGGGAGAATTCTGTCTTCCCAGGCCTCTCTGAATGGGAATTTGAAAGATTCTGAGCGGACTGGTGGCAGAAACCTTGCACAGAGACAGAGTGTATCTGCACAACAAGCTGCATTGTAATGTGCAGAGAAAAAAGAGTCAACCTGGGTGCAACAAAAATGTAACATTCACAGCATGGAGCCCTCCAGCTCCCTGCTGCTCTTAGCTGCTAGGGTAAATCCAGGTCCAATGTTCCGACCCCTGACTTAAGACCTAAGCTTTTATCAACATACCTGGTTGGAGATAGGACAGACTTCTATGGGAATATCCTTCTTCAGAGATAATTTTTTGGCTGCTGGGTGTTTACTGAGGGCAAGTCCATGGCCAATCCGGCTGGTATTCAGTAGCAGAGCATCCAGCACGTTATTATCTACAGAGGTGCCCTGCCAGTCTGAGGAAAGACAGATAAAAATCATTACTGTCCTATAAGAAAATATATCTTCTCAAACTGTTAGATGGTCTTGTTAATAAAATTATCAACTGCAATGTGAGAGGGTTTCTTGTGCTTCAAGTTTCAACTTTACCATGAGATGAAACATACCTGTGACTATCCACGATTACAAAGGGAGCCCAGGGTGACTAGTTCAGATGTAGACATTTTCTCTAGAGATGTCAACTTGTAATAAGCACAATGCAATAGTTAAACAGAACTGTCTTGCATGGTGGGTTAAATCCCACCTATATAGGCTGAAAAATGTATTGCAAATAAGCAGACTATCCCAGAAAAGAAGGGCACAGTCAGCTAAGAGTTGCAGTTGGCACGGCCATTCTTTCGTCTTAAAATGTGAAATAAAAGACTGATGAATTCTGGTGCTGTGGATGGAAGGTGGATGCTGCTCTAAGGAGGTAATGGCTGAGTCACCCCAGCAATGATTTCTTCTGCCGCATAACTTCAGGTTACACACAATAATGCACAATAATGTGGGACTTGTCTCCTCGTACTTACCGGTCTCCCCAGCATGGAAAAAGTATGGCAAGTTGACCCCCAGGGAATATGGGATGGTCAAGGCATCTCTCAGCTCCCATAAAGAATGACCTTCATCCTCATTGCCTACCTGGGGAGTAGAAAGAGTAAAGGTATTTTTGAGTGTGCACTGGAAGGTTGTGGGGCTTGCAGCTAGACATCACTACATGGTGTTAACTGAACTGAAATTACAATGTTGGTTTTTAGGAGGGAGGTGGTTGATTCTTTCAAGGCTTTTTGTTAATTATCTTTAGCGAAATCCTTAGCTAAAGGTTTTTTGGACTCATTTATACTGATTTCAGTAGAGGATCCCACTCTGGTATGAAACATATGCCAAATGATTAAGTAGTTACATTGCATCTCTAGAGGCTACCTCAAAGTCATGGAAAAAACACTTACCAGATCGAAGCCTGCCAGGAAATCTGGGAAGCGGGCTCTGAGTGCCATGGCAGTGACGATGACGTCTTTTATCTGGGAAACATTCAGCTTCCTAAACAACAAGAGAAAGAGCAGTGCAGAGGATCACTTTCCTGGGCCTGCCTGCGTTGGGTCTGTTAGACTTGTGAAATGGGGCACTTGCTTTTCTTTTTTGCCAAAAGTCAAGTTCCTCCTGAATCTAGCAACAAGCTTCAAGTCTACAGAGTAACAGTAGCAGAAAAAAAAATGATACTATCAAAGGATCCCCCTGCATGACCACATACAGTCATTTGAGGTGAGGCACGCCTGTCCAAGATTTGCTGGCTTTCCCATCTACAAAGTTGAGAACAGAACTGCAGGAAAATGTTTAAATATTTGTTTCCCTCTCTACTGTTTTGCTGGGAGGGGAGAACAGTTGCATTTAAATAGAGTTTTAAGGTTATGTTTCTTCCAGGCCTGTCGGACTTGAACATCACAGTGCGCTTTGCAGACAGACACAAGCTCGCTCTGTCCATATCCTGGCTGGCAATCCAGCTCTGAACTGGAAACCATGTCATGCAGAGATGGAGCAAGTAAGTGCTGCTGAGAGGTATGTTATATTTGGTCAGGATCACCTCACATGACTTCATGGCATCTGGCTGACTTGGAGAACAGCCTTGTCTCTGCCTGCAAACAGCAGCATGAACATACCATACAAAGGCTGCCAGGAGAAGAGGATTTGCAGGGTCCTGCAAAGACCTTTGCAATACAGAGTGCCCAAACTCGGGCACTTCTGTCACTGCTTCAGCTTCCAAAGAGGGAGAGTATGTCCAGGCACAGGAGAGGAGGACACACAGCTTGGGCACGTACACACACAAGCAGCCTTCTCCTTGCTCATTCTCATGCCCAGGCTCCCATAGACACTTGCCTCTCCAGGCACACGCCATCAAGTAAGCCTGGTTGCTCAGCACGTACACATGCATACTTGATAATTCTCATCCTCAGTCTCCTAGAAGTGCCAGGAAATACTTCAAGAGTCAGTATCCAAGGTCTGACAAACCAAGCTAACAAGCTGTAGCAATTCCAGCCCATCACTCAAAAAGCTTCTCCTCAAGCTGCCCAGGCCGCTCTTTTGCCCACCACTGCCTCCACTGTAAGGTGGTTATGCCCTATCACTCTTAGCCATGTTCAGCCTCTACCTGTGTGCTGTATATATAATCTTTGCTCCAACAAAGTCAGGATGATCTTCCACAAATTGCTTGGTCACTTCTTGGTACGCTGCCATGGACCATGACTTATCATGCCGAGTGCCATCAAGTTCGTATACCTGTGGGATCAAGAAGTACATGGCAAACAGGAGTTAGAAAGGGGGTTTTGTTAGAGGGAGGGAGAAATGAACTGAAGAAAATCCTCAGAAAAACACTCTGTTCCTCAGCGAAATACTCTGCTGCATTCCTGGCAGCAGGGAGGAGGGAAAAAAAAACAGTTAAAACTTTAAAATATTTTAACATATTTTCTTTTTGAAGCCTTTACTAGCTAGCAAGAACTGAAGCATGCTTTTCCTCTCTGCTATATGGTACAAGAAACAAGCCTCTCCATGTTCGGACATGGCAAGCAGGTGCCCTTGGATATCCTGAGGAGAACATGTCCTCTGACTCATGTATATATCAAATGCTGGAGCATTTGTCCAGCCGTCTGGCCACGCATACGCACCACTCTGTGCCTTGCGGCTGCAGTCTGTCCGCAAATGCAGGCCCAGAGCGTGCAAGGGCTGGCCTCCATAAGCTAGCAGCTGGGCTGGCCTTCAGCTCCCCTCCGCCTGAGGTTTGCTCCATGACCTTGAGTAGGTCATTTAATCCTTGCACACTTTCCCAGGTCTCTGGTTGAAACCTGGGAAGAATTATCGTTTTTGCGTGAGCTGTCTCATCAGCCTACTTTGTGAGTTCCTCACTACCGGGACTGTGCATGGGGCTTTTGCCCTGATTTCAGCAGCAGCATAGATCCTATATGCCCTGACTGCTGCTAATCCACAAAGGCACTGCCTGGAGCTTGTAACAAATGGAGGCTGAAATCACTCAATCCATTCTCTTCTTTTCCTTCTTTCATTTTCTTTCTCTTTCACCTCCTCTTCCCCAGTCCTAAGCCAGTTCACCTTCTTATTTTCCTGCTGGAGCTGGTCCCTCGCATTCACAGCAGTCGCTAAGCCCTGCACCCCGCATGGCTTTCCCCCTGTAGGCACCAGGAGCCATGGGGTGGCTGCAGATTATCAAAGGGAATTTTCCACTACTGCAGCTCACAGGAATCTGAGACTTTACACAGCTGAATTTGCAAACACAGCTGGGTTTGAGGGAGCTTTTCTACAATGTTTGCTGTTTCCCAGTAAATCCTGACTTTCATCTACTTGTCTTCAGTCACCGCATCTGCCTTGCCTTGCTGCAGGGGCAGCTTTTGCCGAGTGTCAGTGCCATTGCCCAAGCCTTTCAGAGGATCTCTGGGTGCACAGCTATCTCACCATTCCCATCACATCCTGCTCACCTTGACCTTCACACTGAAGTGCTTTTCTTCCCTCTCGTCTTCAGCTTGGCCTCACTGGCTCTTTCCTGCCTGTGCCGCTTGCGGAGACCAAGGAGCCCCACGGGCTCTGGGATGCTCACAGCCCCCACAACAGTGCCCCAGGGCAGGCAGTCTGTCCGCATGCACCTTGTGGCACGCTGGGCTCTAGGTGCAAACCAGCCGGGTCCCATGCTTGGTGCCAGCACAAAGCCCGGCTTGGGAAGCAAATCTCCCGTGCCAAGCCTCCCCTTGGAAGACATTACAACCGTGTCTAAAGGCTGCCTGTTAATGCAGGGTGTTTTCCAGCCAGGCCCACGCACTCATTTCATTGCAGATATTCTTGGCCCGGAAACCTCTGTGACCTGGGGACATGCCAGCACTCCCGCTGCCTCACAGCACAGGAATCCTGACACTGCTATTGTTTGCTCTTTCCAGGTACCCCAAAGACAGATGGCAACCGAGCTACTTCAGGAGAACTGGCTTGTGACCAGCTCCCAGCAAAGTAAGATGCATATAAGCTTTTTCTCCTCTCCTCTCCTCTCCTCTCCTCTCCTCTCCTCTCCTCTCCTCTCCTCTCCTCTCCTCTCCTCTCCTGCAATCCACCTTTCAGGCATGATAAAGCGTGCCAGCCCGCAGCCCTGAGCACCACAGCCCCATTTCACCACAGGACCAGCCCCAGGCACAACAGGGCAAGGTTAGGCATCCCACTCCCCAGCTGTTGATGCAGAGGCACTCACAAAGCCCGCCCAGCCTCCGAGTCTGTGACAGTGCCCGCCTGGCTGCCCACGGGGCGGCCCTGGGGGGACGTGCCGGCGGCACCGATGGTTGCTGGGCTGCAGACAGTCATCTGCAGCAGGCCCGAGCCTGCCAGCCATTTCATCTCACACAAGGGCAATGATTTAAGTGAGCAAGTTGCTGGCAGACACGTCCTGGAGCCAGGCTGCCGGGAAGGCGCTAGCACGGCACGCTGCGGGATGCTGCGTTCCCCACAGCAGCCTCTACCTGCCTTCCAGCACCGGGCACTCGGCTGCCGTGTCCCTGGGGTGCTGCCAAACGGACCTGGCGGAGCAATTTCATTCCTGTTTTAATGGATTGTTTAGAACGTGGAAGCGAATGGTGTCATTAGGAGTGATGGCCCCAGTTTGTTTATTTTGATAAGGAATTTGCTTCTCTTGCAAGGCTCCCACCCGACAATCTCCTGCTTTGAGAACTTTGTGAAGGATTATATGGAAAATGTATGCCTGCACTATAGAAACTGTCACAGAGAAAGTGTCATTTGTCATAACGATAAGATGGGAGTAGAGTCTGCTGGCAACTGGGATGATGTCAGGGACAGTGTGGGATATAGGATAGACTCACTGGCTGTAGGTGGTATGCAGGGAGAAATATCTAAATTGCTATCAAGTGATTTTAGTGTTAAAGGCAATGAAAAGAGCAGTTCACACCTCACAGAGCTAACCTTTCAGGCTGTCTGCACACTCTGGAGGACAGTGCTTTGCCAGTTAATATTCTAGTCTAAAATAATGTAAATACTATAAGCAGGGAAATTATTCCAGAATAGCTTCAGCAGAACAGGTGATTCTGGTGCAAATCCTAGATATCTTCCCAACTAGGAGTATTAGACACAGTTCCAAGTCAGAGCCTACAACACAGCTTTGCAGTGTTGCCACATCAGGTATCTTCCTCAATCGTTAAGAACAAAGTATTTCTCATTTTCAAGCCCCTGAGTATGCAAATCTCCAACAAAGACCTTTGAATATGAGAAAGCTTTTCCAGCACCCTTACAGTGCCAGGTTCACAAACACCTAAAAACTAAATTCAAGATAGGGCTTGAGAAAAGTTATGGAGACACAGGATTTAAAAGGGAACTACAGAAGCCAAAAAACAGGTACCTCAGGCAGGAGAGCTCTTATCTCGACATACTGTATGTTGTCCTCATAGAGTTCCAGCAGCCCCTGGTAGAAATAGGCCTTGAACACAGGTGCATAGCAGATAAGCCCAGAGGCAGTAAGAAAGACTTCTTCAAATCTTCTCCAAATGTGAGCCTCAGAAGGGTAGGCCAGCTCAGGGGCATCCGTCACCAGGGTCAAGTTTCTCAGCAAGCTGGAGAAAAGAGAAAAGGGAAGAGGAAGAATTAGAAGCATGAACAAGTCCATTAGCTTTCATTATGCAAAAAGCCACCATTTGGAAACTTGGGTGACTTTTACGTGAGGGAATAGGATTCCTCCAAGACAGATGCAAGTTTTATTATCAGAGACCAAGCTTTGCAGACATCACAGTCTCCCATCCACGTCCTTGTAGATGCAGTAAGGCAGCGCTGCCCAAGTGTAGTGAAGAAGGAATGCATATTGGGGAGGACCAAAAGGAGGTAAGATGCAAATCCTAACACAGGTGAGGCTTAGTACCTACCTTGGAGCCTGCTTGCAATACCTAAACAGGTGGATTATACTACAGGTACAATTATGAAGCACCCAGATAGGTTTTACATGACCTATATTTATTAAAATATTATATATTTTAATATATTTATATTTGGTGGTTGGTGCAGATAATATCTGTGAATCAGAAATCCTTTTTTCCCCCAAGCGAAATGAAGCTGTAACCCCGCCTGTTAAATGAAAGCTTGTGCCTTACTGGTAAGTTTTTCAGATTTGTCTGCTGGCAAACAGTTAAGAATTGTGTGTCCTGCCTTTCTCTTGCCTTCAGGATGGTTGGATACTTATTTCCTTCATAGACTCTACTGGAAAATAAGCATCTTTAAGAAATCCAGAGAGGCTGCAGGTTATTTTATCAGGTTAAGTTTGAGAGAACCAGTAAGTGCATTATTGTTGAGTTGTGCATGTAGCTATAGGTGAGCACTTGCATTTGGGACAGGGTGAAAGTCTGTTTATGGGCAAGTTTATAGCTTTCACTCTGGCATTAGGTCCCTTTTTCAGCTGGCCACTTGAAGGTTTTGTCAGACATTTCTCAGGCTGGAGGGCAAAGACTAAGTGGCAATACAGGGAGCAATCAAGCTCATTCCTGGGTGGACAAACTAAAGCCACAAACTAAAGAGAAGGATGCTTGAGGCTCATGGTCTTACGAATCCCAGTAGGCCTGATGTTTATCTAGCCTCAGAGGCTGTGCACGTTCCGATAGAAATACCTTCGGCCATGCTTCATCCTTCATTCAAGTATATGGTTTCTCTTTGATAACTGCTAGTGGTCTTTAGTAATGATTTGTGTTTGATGTCTTGCCCCTCATCCCAGCACAGTGCTCTTCTCTGTTATACAGGAGATGTGGGTTTGATTTGTGCTCGTATTATCTCATTCCAAGAAGCTTCCGTGGATGGAATTAAAGATTTCCCTCCTACAGATCTAAAGTGTGATCTGGTCCAAACCTATAAATGAAGACATCCTGAGTAGGGGCACTGCTTTGGAGTCTCTCCATTCAGAGCATAAAATGGAGCTGTTTCCCCAGCATCTGCCTGCTGGCTGCTCTTGCCTCTCTGAGGTCCCTCTTCCAGAGGCTGCAGTTTCAAATCTTCTTTGCTCTGTTAATTGGTTTGCTGGGAACAATTTTAGAAACAAAACAGTTTATCAGCAGAGACATTTGTACCACATCAAGGGCGAGATTTTAAATGCACAACAGTCAGGAAATCCAGAGTTAAGGTTTCCACAGCAACTTTAGCTCTGCGCTCTTGTGCATTACAATAGGGCCTCTCGGTCCATTATCACACAACGCTGGGCAACCCCAGACACCATTCAGTAAACAAAGCAACCGAACGGAAAGGAGCTGAACCATAACCAGGCAGGCACATGTGCAGCACTTTGCAGCGCGGCCCGCGGCGGCGTTTGGCATTTCAGACATGTTCGGGGGAGCGCTGAGCAGTGACATTGTAGCGTCACCCTAGAAACCAGGAATGCGAGAGCCAGGGGCATCTTCGCAGAGCTTATCTGACTGACAGAGCGCGGTCGGAGCCGGGCCTCCAGCGGCGCTCGGCACCGAGCGGGGACAGGACTTTGTGTGGGAAGAGCTCGGCCAAGCCGCTGGGAACAGGCCGCGGTTAAGCCCGGCTTTGCTGCTCCCTTCCCGGGCCGGCCTTGCTCCCACGCGGCTGCCGGGGCCGCCCGTGGGGGCTCCTCGCAGGCCCGGCATCACTCCAGCTAGCGCCGCAAACTGCAGGAAAAGGGGAGAAGCCTCCACCTGGATCAAAACACCCTGCAGGCCTATTCTCACCACCCGGTAGAGCTGCCTTTTAGATAAGGACCAACAGGTACTTGGGATGCAACTGGGCTTTTCCCATTCTCCGTGAGAACAGACTCCTTCCATAAAGAGCACTTGCCTCTCTGCTCCTTATTTTTAAGTCCGGCTGGGCAAACTTGGGGTTGTTTACTTAGCCTGTGCTCCTGGGCTAGATACAGCAATAAATCCCCACACCACCCTGCTCCTAAAAGCACATAAATCATCTCATGTTTTTTATGATCCCCTTTCCTTTGAGACTGATTATTGATCCTTAGAACTGTGAAGATTTATTAGGTAACAGTGATCCATGCTTGATAACAGGATAATCTCTTAAGGGTCCAGGCGGCCAATTTTGTACCACGAGATGTTGATGCAGATGAAGCAAAGCTTCACAAATACATTTTTTGCTTATTTGCTGGAAAGGAACTTACTCAGTGATCAGGTGCAGACTACAAATAGCTTTCCATGTCATATCATATATACAGTGAACAATGTTATTGCAATGCATATGTCCAAAGGGGCATAACCAGAGTGACCAGCTAAGGATTATTTATTTTTGACAGTGTTTTTGCTTTCTTTTTTTTTCATTTTTTTTTCCCTAACTGCTTTGTTTCCTTGCACTATATAATACCAGAGTGAAAGGTTGCCATTTCCTGATTTTTAAGGTTTTTTTTTTTTTTTTTTTTTTTTTTTTTTTTTTTTTTTTTTTGTTGTTGTTGTTTTTCTATTCCATATAAGTTAATTATACCACCCTCCTCACCATAGTTGCTGAATGTCTTCCAGTGGTGCATTAAATAGTGTGACTAACATCTGTCACATGTGGTTCATTCGCTCGCTCTCTTCCTCTTTTCTTCTCCCCAAGGGGAGACTTGTAGAGAGAGGTGAATGTTTTGTTTCTCTAGTGGATTTTATTTTTCCTTTTTTTTTTCCTTTTTTTTTTTTTTTTTGTAATGTACATGCTGCCCTATTTTTCTGTGGCTAGGGCAAGCCAGAGGACACGAAGGGGAAGGTGCAGGAGGTCTGGGCAGCCGTTAGCACCCGAGGGAATTCTCTCCCCGGCCTAGGCCTGGCCTCTGTGTCAGCTCCCTCGCAGATGACTTCATCCCTATGATAGAGAGCTCCACAGGGCCGCGGGAGACCAACTGCTGGGCATGGCCTTAATCCTTGGGCTACCAGGGGGGAGGCTATTTCACAAATATCTGCAATGTCAACGCTGTTTCCCTGAATATCTCTTGGCATGGTTATTGTGAGCTCTCGCTTTACAAATGGTGACAATTCTGTTGCATTTCAAGGGGAAAAAAATGGCACTCTCCCATATCATAATTAATTGTAAAGAAAACAAGTGTGGAAGTCTTTTTAGCTGTGAGAACAAAATTCCCTTCCTTTCTCTTCCTCCAAGCCCAGAGTCTCTCGACTCTTGAGACAGCATTATTTTGAAAGTTTACCAGTAACATAATACTCCAGGGTCCTCTTGGCTCATAGGGCTTATGTTTTGAATATGAATGATGAAAGTTCCTTTTCAGACAAAGAAACAAAAAGACTTACTTTCAGCATAAACATACAACACATAAAAATACAAAAATACAGACAAAATAGAAAGAAATGGTATCTGTCTCACTGCCTGTGCCCTTGGTGATCGGGAATGCGGTAAGGTGAAGGAGGTGCATCCTCCAGGAAAGAGCCTCATTGTGCTGCTTGCATTTGCTGAGCCACATTATCTTGCATGAGAAGCCTTCCCTACTGCCATATTCCCCTGATACTTTCTTGAAACCACCCAACTATCCATCCGTTCCTTCCTCTGACATCTGCTTTCTCTCAGCTTGTCAGTGCTCAAGGGCAAAGAGGAGTGCAGGGAAGAGGTAGCCTGGGATGCACATGTTCATGAGACTGGGAGAGTTTCCAGAAACTGAGAAGCAGAACAGATTGGGGCCTATTCCTGGCTAGAGACCTATTTCCAGACGGCCAAAAAACATTCCTAACCCCTAGATTACTACCCAGGGATTAGATCAAAATAGGAGGGGAAGCGCCTCAATGTGGCTCTTGTTCATGTGCCTGCGCGTTATGTACGGTGTGACTTCTCTGCAGCTTCAAAGTACTCAAAATACAACGTACTCAAATAAATAAGCCCATGCAAGCACTATGCAAGAGAATCAGGTTTTTGTATGTGGCTCTGACACTTGTTTGCTGAGGAAAATCACTTTGTTGGTTTCTGCCTCACCCTTGGTGTGACCCCTGGGGCAGGTCTGCATTGTGTATTGTATCTACCACTATGGAGTCCTGCTTTGACTTGGGGTTACACAACGGTGGTGTTGATAAATAATACAAAAGAAGAGCAATGTGTTGATATTACCTCATAACCCAAACAGGACCATAGGGAATGAAAGCATGCAGAGCTCCACCCTCCTTCTCCTGCAGGATGTCATGCCACCTACCCTCAGCCAGGAAGGGACCTCAGACTATGTGAATTCAGCTAAAAATAAACACAGTGAAGCGTTATTCCTAAGAAGATTCTGAAATACCCAGGGTGATTGCTTGTGCCTTAAGAATGTGAAGCTATTTCAAAATTACTTGTACATTATGGATTTCCCTGTGGGGTTGAAGAGGTCTAGTGCCACGATATTTCTCTCCTTATTACTCCCAGCTGAAATGGAAAGAAACTATTGGGAAACCAGTTTTCTCTTCAGAAACACATAAGCGACTTCTCACTGGATATTTTTCCTCCATCACATGTCAGGGCAGCCATGCCTCAGCGTATAAAAGGTAGGGAATCCTTTTCTGGGCTCTTTTCTCCCTCTGGGAGAGCCAGCTCTCTGCATCAGGCAGAAGCACAAGTTCCCATTGTGTTTATCATAGAATCATAGAATCATAGAATGCCGAAGGTTGGAAGGGACCTCAGAGGTCATCGAGTCCAACCCCCCTGCTCAAGCAGGGTCACCTAGAGCACGTGGCACAGGGCTGCATCCAAGCGGGTTTTAAAGATCTCCAAAGAAGGAGACTCCACAACCTCTCTGGGCAGCCTGTTCCAGTGCTTTGTCACCCTCACAGTGAAGAAATGCTTCCTTAAGTTCCTGTGGAACTTCCGATGCTTCAGTTTGAAGCCATTTCCTCTAGTCCTATCCCTGCTCACCACTGAAAAGAGGCCGCCCCCCTCCTCCTCACTGCCTCCCTTGAGGTATTTATACACGCTGATCAGGTCCCCCCTCAGCCTCCTCTTCTCCAGGCTGAACAGACCCAGCTCTCTCAGCCTCTGCTCATAGGGCAGATGTTCCAGGCCCCTGATCATCTTCGTAGCCCTGCGCTGGACTCTCTCCAGCAGCTCCACATCCCTCTTGTACTGGGGAGCCCAGAACTGGACGCAGTCTCCAGATGTGGCCTCACCAGGGCTGAGTAGAGGGGGATGATCACTTCCCTCGACCTGCTGGAGACGCTTTTCTTAATGCACCCCAGGATCCCGTTGGCCTTCTTGGCCACCAGGGCACACTGCTGCCTCATGGTCAACTTGTCGTCCACCATGACACCCAGGTCCCTCTCTGCGGGGCTGCTCTCCAGCAGGTCCACCCCTAATCTGTACTGGTGTCCAGGGTTATTCCTCCCCAAGTGCAGGACCTTGCACTTGCCCTTGTTGAACCTCATGAGGTTTCTCGCCGCCCAGTCCTCCAGTCTGTCCAGGTCCCTCTGGATGGCAGCACAGCCCTCAGGGCTACCAGCTACTCCACCCAGTTTGGTATCGTCGGCAAACTTGCTGAGGGAGCACTCCAGCCCTTCATCCAGGTCGTTAATGAATAAGTTGAACAGGACCGGACCGAGAACTGACCCCTGGGGGACACCACTAAGTACAGGCCTCCAACTGGACTCCGCACCATTGACAACCACTCTCTGCACCCTGCCATCGAGCCAATTCCTAATCCACCTCCCCGTCCACTCATCTATCCCACACCTTCGGAGCTTGCCCAGGAGGATGCTGTGAGGGACAGTGTCAAAAGCCTTGCTCAAATCCAGATAGATGACATCCACCGCTCTGCCCTCATCTATCCAGCTAGATATTCCTTCGTAGAAGGTGATCAGGTTAGTCAAGCAGGATTTCCCCTTGGTGAATCCATGCTGGCTACTCCTGAGCACCTTCTTCTCCTCCAAGTGTCTGGAGAGAGCAGCCAGGATGAGCTGCTCCATCACTTTCCCGGGGATGGAGGTGAGGCTCACTGGCCTGTAGTTACTCGGGTCCTCCTTCTTGCCTTTTTTGAAGACTGGAGTGATGTTGGCTTTCTTCCAGTCTTCCGGCACCTCCCCCGTTCTCCAGGACCTTTGAAAGATGATGGCGAGCGGCTCGGCTAGGACATCTGCCAGTTCCCGCAGCACTCTGGGGTGCATCTCATCAGGGCCCATGGATTTGTGGGTGTCGAGGCTCCCTAGATGCTCTCTGACCCACTCTTCCTCTACCCAGGGCAAGCCTTCCTCTCWCTCGCTCTCTTCGTGTGTCCCTAGGGCCTGGGATTATGAGGGAGGGAAGGCAATCCCAGTGACCTAGCAGCCTGTTAGCCCTCCTGCCCTGCCTCCCGTATCCATATCCGCAGGGCACAGAGCCCTGGGGGCTCCGTGAGGAGCGGGTACCAGCTGCCTGCAAGTTCAGTGCTCCCTTTTTAAAAGCACGCCCGCTCAACCTCACCAAAGGGCGCTACAGTAAAAGGCACCAAGTTTCACTTAGGAAATGGCATAATTAGGTTCACCACACAACCTGAGTCCCACTTTCTCCTTGGGTGCCAGCACCACAGCACGGTCTTTAACTACCCTGCACCGCATGCTATTTTCTCAGCAAGGCCGGACCCCGGCCTGCCTGAGCGCTGCGGACAGGGGTGCTCTCCGAAAGGATCCCGACTCAATATTTTCCCGTGTCCTCATTACTCAGTGTCTGCCGCCATGCATTATTTAGCACATGCCATCCAGCTCCCGAAACACAGCGCGGAGCAGCATGCTGCCTCCTGGCTTTGCAGCAGGGCTTTGTCACAGGCTGAAGGGCCACTCTGTAGGCAGATGGGGCTCTGTCCTCCGTCACCACCCTCTGGAGGGGCAAGGAGGCTCTTCTGCCCCTCCACCCCCAGTAATTAAATGCTGAGCAGCTTCCAGGCGACCTGAAAACACCTGGTCCTGATAAAAGGCTGCCTGCTCCAAGGAAGGAGCTCCTAGAAGAGAGTGGGTGATGCTCTGGGGGAAGTGTCTGAGGTGAGACTTGCTAGTTAGCAGTAGGAGATGGTTAGTGTGGGATGAAGCTCTGCTGGGAGGTTGGTGTTGACGGGAATGTACTGCCATGCATGGGGCCTGCACATAGGGCTTCTGGGCTCGCTGGCTGTGATATCCCAGGGCCTAACCTGGGAACTAGCCTTTCCTCTGGGAAAAGTGCCTGGTGTCTGAGGATCTTACCTGGAATGAGCTTCTGTGCTTGAGCATGTGAGTCTCAGCTGGGTTTCAAAGTGAGCACCATAAGGACGGTGTTTGGATGGGGGGAAGGGGTTCTGCTGCATTTTTCTTGTTACTACAATAGCTTTAACTTCAGTAGTTTGTCCAGCTTCCTGCCCTGAGGCAAAGCAATGGCTTTAAAAATTACTTTATTGCTGGGAGTGGGGGAAGCCTAATTGCTTAGCTACCTCTCTTCCTCCTGTGCTCTGGTGTTCTGCCTTACCAGCTAGATATTTTTTTGGTTGCCTCAACAGAGGAGGCAATGTCCTTCACCACACACCCCTGTCCTATGCTGGAAGCCCCTTCAGTATACGTGTTGAGGGAAGGTAGGGGCAGGTGGCATACAACTACTAAAATAATGCCTCTAACCTTGCCTGTGTGAAGGGCCAAAGCAAGGCTGTATAGGAAAGTTTAATTTTGATAGTCTCTAATTCTGGTGCAATTACTGCTGCATCCTGCAAGTTCTTGTATCGTTATTTCCTTGTTCTGCCTACATAGCTTTACTGCAGTGTCCTGTTTCCAGAGCTGCATGTGGATGGCCAAGGAGCACCAGAATGATCCTGACAGGCATGCAGCACTATTATGGAGTACCAGCAGGCCTGCAATTCCTGTTCACTCACCTCTTATCAAACTCGGTCACGTTGGGCAGCTGCTTCCGGTAGGTCTCCAGCAACACCCACCGGGAGCACTGGGCTGGCACGGGATGAGGAGGGTGAGGCTTGGAAAACCTAAAGTGAACAGCACCGGTGCGTGTGAAGCAAATGTAGCAGTTGGGCATGTAGGTGACGTTGTATACCAGCCAGTCCACGCTCAGGATGGCATAGTCGTGCAGGTGTAAGACAGCACCTGGGAAGAGGAAGAGCAATTCTAATGAGACAAGGCAGCTGAAGAGAAGGAAAACTGCTTTAATGGAATAACAATTCAGGCTTGCTCATCCTGGGGCACCTGGAAATGCTTCTGGATAGTCATAATTGACCTCTCCCATCAGTAAGACTGCTGCTCTCTTCCTCTGTGTTGGGCGACGCAGCCCACTCCACATCAAACACAGGGTAGGCAGAGCATGACAGCTCCCTGGGAGCAGAGGCTGGGAGGAAATCAATAGGGAGCTCTGCTTCTCCACTGGGATGGAAAATGCTCCGAGTTACTAAATGTCTTGCAGAGTTTGCTGTGAGCTGGCTCTGGCCCCGCTTAAAGAGGAGCGTTCACATAGGCAGCCATTCACATGGCACGCCAGCTCTAGGCAGACCTGAACCAAGTCTCTGTATCTAGGTTGTTCGAATCCCAGCATATCTTCAGGTCTCTGTCATGTCTTAAACTCTGTCCTAAACCAAAACCCTCTTCCCTATGTGAGTAGCGATAGCTATTACAGTAGTGCTTGAAATAATAATAATTCCTAGGTGATCTGCTCAAGACTGAGGCCTCAAAGACTAGTTCTGCACAAGGAATGACAAGGATGTACTCTTAACCCTGAAAAGCTTGCAGTTCTTCCGAGGACTCGGAGTTTATTTTGGTATCTCTTGGATTGGAAAGTGCTTAGCTAGTCTGCTTCCCCTTTTGGAGAGGAAGAGGGGTTTGCTTTTAAATTCCTTACTACTCAACTCAATGGTGAACAGATAACGGCCCTGTTGTCATCCCAGGCATTTATCTTCACTGGTCAGGATGCTGCACACCAAGAAGTCCCATCAGACTGGGAGCAGAGCAAGACAGTTCTTAGCCATGCATTAGTGTCACAGCCTTGCAGAGGAGCTGACCTGAGGCTCTGCTGAAGCCAGTCACCAGCCTCTTGCCAGGGAGCTGCATGGGCAAGGCCGTGGGATAGCATCTAAAAAGGGACCATCTGGAATACGGAGTGCATCATCCAGATGCTGAAAACTTTCAAATGGGTGTTGAAAACTTTCACCAAAGGCCTCTTATCTTTAGTTAAAGAATGCACCTTGTTCAAATACTTCCTCGCGAAACATAGGGACAAATTGGTCAGATAGGAATCTACGCCTTCCTACTGCAACTGCCTTGACCTCTTGTCTCTCCATTGGACTGCCAGCAGCTCAGAGACATGGAGATGTCAGCACCTGAAAGACAGCTTGCATGGCTTGGATTTCTATATAGCTAAAAGCATCCTCCTGTGTACCCTGGAGAGCTGTGACTTCATGTGCTGGTGTGCTCAAGGGAGCCTGCATAGGGTATGCTAAATGTATTGGACAAATTCATGCCATTATACAACCTAAACTGTTCCAAGTGCCTTTAAAGCCATACATGTGCTGCAGAGTATAGATCAGCTTCTTCTGGTGTGGAGCATGGCATTAGCATATGGCTTCCTGAGCAACAGGGGAGAAAGTGTCTTGGCAAGAGGACGACAGGGCAAATGCCAGCCTTGCAGAGAGGTCTCCCATAAGTGGACAGAAGAAAGCTTGATTAAGAAAGATCAGAAAATCTTGAAGATTTCTTAAATTAAAAGAATACACCAGGGCTGTTTTGTATTACGTTCTACAGGTCACATCAATAGAAGCTTTGTCTTGCGTTCAGCTAGTAAAAGCACGGACAACATCAGGGCGGGATGGATAGGAGAAGGAGCCCGTAGGCCAGAGCCTACCTTTTGGCATGCGCTTTAAGATGCTGAACACTGCGCTCCGGTCGATGAGGCTTTTGGCCCGGAAGAAGTGCATGCTTGGAGGGAACAGCCCTGTGTTCATGGCAGTAGCCACCTCCTCCTCCTTGAGGCTTACCAGCTTCGCACTGAGCTGCTGCTCCTGCCTGTCCAGCACCAGGTTACCCCCTGTCTGACAGGCTTTCTCCTCCTGCATCAGGGAGTCTCTGTCCTTCCAGAGCGGGAGGGGAAGACAGAGGGGAGCCAAGTTCAGCAGAAGGAAGCACAAGCAGAATGCCAGCCTTGTGCTGCGCCCAGGTGGAGGCTTCATCTTACAGCTGCACCTGGAAGAAGGGAAAAAAAGTACAAAATCTGTGTAAGCCCAAGGCAGACTAACACCTTAGCAATGACCCACTGAGTCATTAAGGTGCTGGCTCCTCCTGCAAGCGGAGTCAGTTAATGTGATGCTTGGTACTGTGGTGCTGCCATGCGCCGTATCCCGGGCTTTGCGTTCCCTGGGGCGCTGCTGACGTGTGCAGGGTTGTGGGGAGGACACATCCTGCTCCACAGGATAGTGCATCGTGTGGACCTGCGACGTGGTGAGGGTCCAGCCCTAGGTCTGAGAACTGGGGAGGCTGGGACTCTGCCTTGCAAGACAAGGTAGGGATCCCCACGCATCGGGGGTGCTGGTGACAGGGTGCCCTGCTGTGTGGCCAGTGCCAGAAGCAGGGGGCAAAGTGCCTGGGGAGATGCTTCTGTGAGTGTACAGGCTATGCTGGAGTGCAGAGCTATGCAGGTCCTGTCCGGTGCAGTCAAGAAGACTTTGCTACGTCCTCACAGTGTATTGCAGCTACCAGAGGCTTTAGTTCACAGCCACATGTCGCTGCTGCTTCCTGCACAGCAGCAGGAGCATGTCCCTTTCTTGCAGTCCCAGAAGAATTGGACAGGAAGGGAGAACATGGGAAAAGTAAGAGCATGTAAATCACAGGAGTGAGGCACATGTGAACTCGGGGATCTCTGCCCTTCCCAAAAAAGCACAGCTGCAAGCCAATATCCCAACACCAGGCTCCAGTGATCCTCCACACCAATCCCACCAGACCACAGCGGGCTGCAGCAAGACTCGACGTGTTGAAACGGCCCCCTGTGACTTATTTTACGTCCTGCTTGCACGCATGCTGTCTGCTTCCAGCCTCTTCTCCACCCCCGCCCTTGCGTGGACGTTTTCACCCTTCCCCACTTCTGCCCCATCGGTTAGCCCCACAAGATGCAGACTTGATGGGGAAGCAATCCACCTGCAGAGCCGCATCAAGCCTCGCTCTGAACCCGGAGAGAAAAACCTCCCCAAAAGGCACCAGGACAGCCCTGGTGAGACTGACTCACTTACTGTTATTTTTTTCTCCTCCTTGCATCCAGAGCTCGTCCAACTGCAACCGGAGAGAGCAGGGAGCAGCTTTCTTTTGCAAGCAGGAACTGCCAGGGCCAAGGCTAAACACGCCGGCTCCGAGCCGGCCGTGCCAAGCAAGGCGCGAGCCAGCCCCGCTGCACACAAACAAAGTTCCCCTTCCTGTCCTGGAGTTTCGCTTTGCTCAGCTCTTATTCTTCCCCCTCCCCTGTCCCTTACAGCTTCATGAATATATAAAGAGGAGGAGGAGGCAGCTGTGGTTAGAGAAAGGCTCTGCAAGGGGCCTGAGCAGCCAGGTGAGGAGAGCTGAGCCCCTTGCTGCGCTGGCGAGGGGCTGCTTCCCAAACACGCTGTCCCCAGCCTGGCAGTGCTGCCACGCTGTGACCCGTCACAGCAGCCCCCGGCACGTCCCCTGCAGCCCTCCTGCGTGTCCCGCAGCTCCTGCGTGTCCCGCAGCTCCTGCATCGCTCCAAAGCAGCCTCAAAGGAACGCTCTGACGCTCCCCGTGCAGGGAGACTCCAGGGATAGGGCTGAGCTTCGCTAGTCTCGTCCCATGCACAGTACTGGCCTTTCAATGCTGTTTAACAGCACTGCAAATTCTATTTAATAATGCCTTTTAATCTGAGAAGGTAAGAATCGGTAAAGGTATGTTAAAATGGTTTTTGGCTAATCCCTGTCAGCTCTGTAAACCAGGCCAAAGCCACGCTGACAGAACTCCCCAGAGCAGAATTCGGCACACAGCGATAAACTTTTCCCCGTGGAGTAAATTAGGGGTTAGTGGGGGCACAGTTGTTAAAACGTCTTTTTTTTTTTTTTCCCCCAACCATAACAAATATTGTAATTTCACTGCTTTATTTTGCACAGTTAAATAGGCTTAGTTTTAAAGTTATTTAAAACAGATGTTACATAAACAGCTTCCAGTGGAGAACAAAGTCCACTTTAACCAAAATTTCAGTGTTTTTTTTTTTTTTTTTTAAGAAGAAAGAAAGATTCTGCAAGTCAGCAGCTAGTGGAAACAGCCAGCAGCAGTCAGAAAAACCATTTTAAAGGTAGAGAAAACAGTCTGGTCAGCAATACATTAAATTTCATTGCCAGGTACCACTACAACAGACTGAACACTACTGCGGACAGGTCGCCCCAAATATTCCAGTTACCATCTGGATATACCGTGCCATCCCCCTCTTCTGATCTATTCACCGTTTGCTGTCACTGAGATCAAGCTTGGTAGGAAATAAGAAGGGAAGCCTGCTACCTTCAGGGTTAAATCAGGGTTTTCTAGTCCTGTGCACTGGGATTGACTCTTCTTTTGAACCCCAAATGTGAGAACGTGCGTGGAGGGTTGCAGTGCCCTCCTGCTTGCTCTTGGGCAGGAGAGGGCTTTTCTCGAGGCCTGAGATAATCCTGCTTTCAGGGAGGAATTAGAAAAATAGGGAGTGTATTCGGGCCCCCTGAACTTGAAGGATGCCCTGGTTGCGGAAAGCTCCACAGCAGCTTTTAGTCCATTAAAACAACCTAAGGATCAGAGGTAGGAGGAGAGACTGAGGAGCGAGGCATGCAGCGTGGAAAAGGGAAGGTTGAGCAGAGACAAGCGTTCTGCCCATAAATACCTTCAAGGGAACAATATAAATGAAGGAAGGGAATTGCTCTAATTATCTCGGAGTAGTAAAGCCTGGAGTTGGGACCATAAAACCAAATTCAGGCCAGGCAGTTAGAAAAATGTCTTTGCAGTGAGAAACCAGGCACTAGAGGCAGGTTTGAAGGGAAGGCTGAGACTGGGGAGAGCACTGTGTGAAGGGCCTCCAAGAGCAGCCCACAGCTAGGCAGTGGTTTTAAAAAAGCCTGCCAGAGGGGCCTCACATATTTGCCAGTTTTGCAGCACTGATTCATCCTGCTGAGTTGAGGTTGAAAAACAAAACCAAAGTCCAGTGCTAAAACACTGCTTTAATGGAACTTTTCCACATAAGCCATTGTAACAGTTGCTGGGAGAATGCTATGCAGATGTTGAGAGAAATGAGCTAAGAAATAAGGTGTTCAAGATGCTTTGCTCTCTGTTAAATCGTGGCCTGTGCTCCAAAAATAACATGTGGGGAGTCTGCCCTAGCCCAACAAGAATTAAGTCGCTTCCAGCTAGGTCTTCTCTGACCCTTGAGGATGGAAGGGGTGGAGGAAGGGAGAATAGGATAAGGCAAGTCGGAATATGGTGATCATATCCATGTCATAGCCAAATCCTAATCCAAAGCCCCATTTGTGAGGGGTCTTGAGTTCTCCCAAAGCCTGCAGGTATTCACAGCTCGGGTGGCAGGCCGTGCAGGGAGCCAAGGCTTGAGAGAGGGAGCTCTCTCTGTATAAAGGATCGACAAGGATTATTATAGGAGTCATTTCAAAACTGCAGCCACTATAGTAGTTTCTCTCCAGTCCTGACTAGCTCCTGAAATAATCTACCTGGTTGAGGCTGGTGACTCCCAGGCCTTCTGCTGCAGCCGTACTGCTCCCCGTGCCTCTGTCTGTCCTCGAGCTGCCTTGTCACACTAGCTGCTGCTTTCTCTACAGCCAGCTGCATCTTAAGCTGCATCTTTAAATAGCTGGTGGCCACCATGTAGTGAAGTCCCCTCGGTTCAGTTTCAGTTCCACGTGCTGCTCTTCAAAGTTTCTTTCAGGCAGTTGCTGCCATCTCCCTGCCACATGTTTTCCCACCACCACAACCTGCCTCTCAGCTCACCCCCTGTGTCTCTGCTGCTGCTGCTCCAAGGTCTCTGCTCCCCCACTCAGACCCTTGCAGCAGCAGTGGCATGGAGGGCACTGACTCTGTGCCCAGCTGCAGAGCACAAGGAGAGGCGCAGGATGGCAAGGACAGTAGTGCTGGGTCTGAGGACACCTATTCTGCACTTCATCCTTTCGCTTGGCACGTTACCCAGAATGTTACAGTGGCCTGCAGAGTTCACCTTTCTGCTCCAACCTTGGAGCCCTTGCTGCGTGCCACTGTTGGCACCTGCACGATGAGGAAGGGCCTGCAGAGCACTGAGACGGTTTGCAGACCAGTGCAGAAACTAGAGCAGTGGCAAAGGCAGCAGCGGGCAAACTAGGGGCGGCTCAGCCCCCTCTGGCACTTCCTTTTTTTGCAACACATTTTGCAAAAGCCGCCCTCGCTGCCCTTTCCAAACCGAGGGGCATTTCTGAAAGCACACAGGGTTGAAGAGTCTTTTGGCTTCTTAGCCATGCAGAACCCGCTTAAATCTACGCTTTGCTCTGGAAACATCACTGCAAGCCCAAGAGAGGGAGGCTGGAGCTGGAAAATGTGTTCCCAGCGTTACCAGTGAGATATTCTCTGTGTGCCAGCTGCCTTATTAGTAAAATGGGAACAGTTACCAACGCAGCTACCCTGCTGGCAGCTGTGATTATTCGCTGTATCTGCTGGTGAAGTAGCTGCACTCCCGGAGCCAGATGCTACATGACTGCCCTTTTAAAGCAGGTTTGCAGAGTGCCTAGCCTAGTTTTGAAAGGCAAACTGTGGGGTGAATCAAGGAGGAAGGCGACATAGGTGAGCAGACACAGCACTTGATAAAGACAATCTCCTTGCACGCAGGCCCATCCGTGCTAGCCATGCAGCAAAACACTGTGATGATCCTCTGTCCAAAGTATCCACAGTCTGCCAACCCCCTCTTTTTTTTTCCTGCAAAATGCTTAGAACATGTAAAAGTGCAAAGTACTATAAATAAAGCATAGACTCACCCAGGATGTTTGGGATGATTAAAACCCCCGCACTGGCCTGCTTCTATCTGGGCATGGGTGGGTATTTTTTTTGCCTTTTTTCCCTCTTTGTGCCAGGCAAAAATATGGGTCATTTACTAGAGAAGTGAGGAGGTCAGCTGGGGAGCTGCACTGCGAGGACGCCAGGTTGCCCTGTGAGTTGTGCTGGGATGTGTTTACATCCCGGCCTGCCGCGAGCTCAGGTCGCCTAAAGGTGCACCTGAGCCGAGCTTTCACGTAAGTTAAACTGCATCATTCCTTCCAGCACCCCCTGGGGCTGTTCCCTGCTCTGCTCACCCTGCACCCGAGCACCAGGCAGGCAAGGACAAAACAAAGCAATCCCAGTGGCTGGGAGCACCCTGCCACGTTGGGACCAAACTGCAGCCTGCCAAGGGCTCCTCGTGGTGGGAGCTCAGAGCCCTGGGACTTCAGGAGAGGGGCTCAGGGCCAGGCAGGACACGTCCCAAGCTGCCTCCAAGGTTTCTGTGCAGAGCCTGCCAGCAAATGTTAGCACAACCTTGAGCTTGTTTGTCTCCTCTCTCTACTACCTATTAGAGGCAAAAATGAGTGAAAACTTGGCAACAGAAATACCCAAAAGATTCCCAGTTACCAAAAGTGACTTTAGAGGAGGAAGCAGCCCAGCGTTGCTGTGGGGAAATGTTTTCTTGCCTTTTCCATTAGCCATGTCAGGTGTCTTGCCTTCCTGGGATATGCATCTGTCATTGGCTGTGTTGTCTTGTGCAGATCAGTGTTGTTTTGAGGAGATTCTCCTTCGTATAACAAGAAGGACAAAATTCCTGCCCTTAAAAGCTATATCCTTTGTGAACCCCCCACTCGGTTCATGCCTCCTACTCTACCCACCTGACTTGCTCAGCCAGAAGCGGCTCTCTTCTCTACCCCCCTGCTCGTCACTCCCTGAAGCATATTCCATATTCTTGGTCTAAACTCCCAATTCCCCACATCTGCCCCAGGCAGATGCCTTCATGCTTTGAAGGAGAGGAGCTGAATTTGTCACTGTGCCTCCATGAGCCTCCCCTCTGCCAGGAAAACCTGCATCCCCGCAGACTTGGCTGGCGCTCTCTGCATCTACATTTCCCAGGTTACTCCAACGTCACTTGAACTCCAAAGCCAGTCAGTAAGAACCACTGCACCTTTCAGTGCCACAGCACCATGGTCAGTCTGTCTGTCTGTCTCTCAGTCTCTGTCTCTCAGAAGTCTCACTAAAAATCATTTTTTTACTGCATTCCAAAACTCTGGCCCTAACGTGTACCCTAGGGCTCTGGAGATGTTTTGGAAGAGAGCCTAGAAAAGGTTGGGGAGCACCCCAGCACCTCTGCTACACTTATACTTCAGCTATTCAGTGGTCACCCCATGGC